GCCATGGACACACACATAGACAACCACAAATTACACCCAAACTCACGAGAGAAATAAATGTAGGCCATACAAATATTTCTCCCAGCCCGGGAATCGAACCCGGGGACCTCTGCGTGGCAGTCCGGTATGGTAACCGTTCGGCCACGGAGGCAGTTCGTGGCAGTCCGGTATGGTAACCAACTCTCGAATTTGAGAGCTAAATGCGGATATAATAGCTTTATCGAGGGAGCATACTACGGGTGATATTGGTAACTTAGTTCAGTCCACGTCAGATAGTCGTCTGTCGCAAACATTTTTTAAATAAACAAATTTGAATCTTCTTCCGTTTTCTTGACTGTTGCTATAATAATTAATATTCAAACTTGCACTTGAGTCCGAAAACACAATACGTACATATGTGTCAGATATCCTAAATTCAAATTTACGGGCTAATGCAATAAATGTACGTAAATATGCTCTTGATAGTAGATTATCTTTTCTCCTCGACACACATTATGGTAGCCCATCAACACCCTCTTTATACCAAGACGGTGTAAAAGATTTTGTGAGCAGCGTTATAATTTCATGAAATATTTACTAGCATCGGACGGAGCACGCAATAAAGCTAATACATAATACATGTTTTCCACGGCAGATAAACAAGTTTCCTAATACAGTTGCGTTTGTGGACCTTATTAAAACTTGTTTTCATGTGATGAGAGAGAATTCTTAAACGTAAACCCATTTTGATTGATATGACAGTGAAGCCTCGTGTAAACCGTAGATGGGAGCGGATTAACTAACTTTTGGACAGGGAAGTATAACGTCGTTATACATAAAGAAATAATAGTTACGTTGCCAGATCGCGTATCCGAACTATTATTATAAATGTGAAAGTAATTCTGTCTGTAACGTTTTCAAGCCTAAACCGTTGAATCAATATTGATGAATATTGGTATAGAGATAGTGGTACCTAAAGACATAGGCTACATTTTGTCACAAAAATAAACCTTAAAGGGAGTGAATTAGGCTGCTAACGGATTGCATATTTCTGCCGCCCGCTAACTAAAGCCGGGTTAAATGACAAAATATTTTTTTTGAGATATCATGAAAAACCACAATCAGTTTTAGAATGTTGAAATTGTTTAACGATATTTCAGCTATGCATCATTAGGGTAAGTTCCGATGCGCATGCGAGACCGGTGGAAAGAGGGCTTGGCGGATCCCTCCTATGGAGCTCGTACCATGGGGGCGATCCGTCCTGTCCTCGTAGAGTGGGTGAGCCGGTCCCACGGGCTACTGCTAGGAGGGAACCGTCCCCGTCGTGCCACGAGTCCAGCGCTGCGGATGACACCGCGCAGCACACCCTAGAGGTGTGCAGCCGGTGGGATGAGCAGCGCCGTACTCTGAGGGGACAATAGGGCGGGACCTCTCGGGAGTCCTGGGAGGCGGTGGCCTCCTTTTGCGGAGAGGTTATGTCGCAAAAGGGGGCTGCGGAGCGGGTGCGCGAGGACGCGGCGGACGCGCAGCCGCTTCGGCGCAGACGTACGGGGAGAAGGCGAAGGCAGTTCGCTGCTCGCCTGATCCCCTAGTGAGGCCAGCGGCCTCTGGGTAGGGACTCCGGAGCCTGCATTGCACGGCCTCACTCGTCTGGATGGCGGGTCGGAGGACAACTGAAAGGATTTGCCCCTCCGTTGGCGCGGGAGCCCTCGCGCAATCAAACCCCTGAGTCTCCCTGGACTCAGGGGTATCTATAAAGATTTCCCCCCGTAAAAAAAAAGGTAAGTTCCGATAAGTCGAACACGTTAACTAATTTTAACTGTTTTTAAAAGAGAATCTCTCTCTTTTGCTATTTAAAACGGATATCTGTCACGTTTATTACCATTACCATTTGTCACTTAGTCGCGTTTTAGTTAGTGGACAGCAGATTTGCGGTTAATGCGTGAAGTTGTAATCGACTTCACGCAGCCGAAACCACGACTCTCTCGGCAGCATGAAGTCGGTTTCAACTGCATGCAGTTATATGTGAAGTCGTTTTCCGAGACCTCGCCTGCATGAAGTTGATAACGACTTCACGCATGAACTGCATGCAGTCGATCTCGGCTGCATGAAGTCGGTTTGGACTGCATGTAGTTAATGCGTGAAGTCTTTATCAACTTCATGCAGTCGAGGTCTCGGAAAACGACTTCACGTATTAACTGCATGCAGACTTCATGCTGCCGTGATCGACTGCAAACATGGAGTCAACCTGTTAGCAGTCTTAGGGTATGAAAGTTTGTAAAGAGAACCAATAAATCTATGAATAGTATTGTTAGTATATTACAGTGGGCTACTCGAAGAACTAATTCTACGCATACGAAGTGGTAGGCACCAGCACCAGCATAAAAATAAGCGTATACACGCTAAAAAATTCAACGTGTCTGCTGCAGAAAAGATGAGAATGGTCTTGTACATGACAAGAACATTGTCGGATCTAGCCACGAAAACATGTCGTGTCTGTTGCAGACGAAAAAAATTATGAGTATGTACACGATACGAATGTTTCGGACAGACGTGTGTAGGGTAAAATGTGTCAGTGCATTACGAGTCTACCAAGTAGCTGTCGTTTTAATACCGACTGTGGGAAGAAATAATTATGTTGTTGTTACATTATGTTGAATACTAAGCAACACCCGCCCGTGCGCATAAACTTTCATTTACTGACAATGCATCTAACCCGCCCCATACAATTGCGGCAGAGTACGTCGTGCCGGGGGTAGACAAGATTTTTTTCTTGTCCGGCGCTGAGGCAGTGTACACAGTTCGTGTGTAGAAACGACACGAATTCTCGCACAGACCCGGCGATTTTTCTTAGCGTGGACATGCGCCTTTATGAGAGAAATGAGGTACAAGAAACCGACCTGCCATCCACCGAAGACGTTGTTCTTCTCGAGATAGAGGATGCGCTTGTCCGTGCATAACACCACTTCCTTGCCGGGGATCACCCACACGTGACCCTCGTAGCTATCCGTCGATAAGTATTTACCCTGCCACAAACACAAATCTTGAAAACTTCACTTTAACACATTTGTAAGTAGTAAAGTAGTAAATAATTTGAGGATCCTAATAGTAGGACCTTCCCAAACCTGCTAATTTCTCTCTGTAAGTAACACATGTGAAGGCTTTAACAGCCGCCCATAACAGTTACAGTGTTACTCAGAGCTTTAAATCATAAAGATCTGGGGGCACCGCCACTGCGCCCGTCACCCTGAGACATAAGTTGACAAGTCTCATGTTCCTGTAATTTCACCAATTATATTTGGCAACTCAATGGAAACAAATTTTCTTCTGTTATAAGCGATTTAACGGGCCTCCTCTAAGGATAGTTCAAACCATAGTCCGCCCGGTAGGGTTAGGGAAGTCGCACGTTTTCCAAGAGTTGTGAACCTTCTTCGACAAGCAGTTTTCATCACGATGTTTTCCTCCACCGTTAGCGAGAGGTATTACAAATAAACATTCACAGATGTACGTACCTTAGAAATGAAAATCATACTAGAAATTTTAGAAATGTACAGTTCAATTAATTCAAGGCAACAGAAGTCCAACCTTTTCGAGCTCAAAAAGCATCTTGTACCCTTCAGCCTGCAGCCGCGAGTAGGGCCTCACCCCGGAGTCGAGCGGCAGGTACCGAGCGGCGCGGCGCTTTGTCACTTCCTCTGACAGGTCTGCGGCCCTGTAGTATACGAGTCGTTGTCAAAAAGGTTGAAAATTGTCTTTCCAGGGACCAACACCAAAACACAAAGTCACTAACGTTCATCGAGTATATAACCAGAAATAGAGGCGAAATAAGGGCCATCCATCCTTGGCAACTTATACACTATATCATTTTCAAATATCAAATCTCGTTTGCACTGAAATCACAAAATAGCTGAAATAGTACAGCGCCAACAACTGACCTGAGTGTATGTCTCCGTATATTCAAAAAATATTCTGTATTTATTGTAATAAAGATAATATCTCTAACAATGGGAGGCTGTTCCATTCGGTGGTGTGGGAAAAACAGCAAAACATCTAATTACAAAACAAACGGAATCATATTTCATCAATAAATTTAAAATGTGTAATTTTTCAATTTTCGTCCATTATAGCAAGGCTCAAGTTAAACTGGTCTATTTGAAGTGAAACAATTGACGACACCCGTCAATTGTTTCGAATTCGGGCTGGCCAATCGGAGCGCAGTTGTCAACGTAATGATTTGGCAGAATAGTTTTACAAACAAATTTAATGACATTTCGTCTCTATTTCTGGTTATACATATAAATACTTGATGCTCATGTTTAACCAAGTTAATATCAAATCAGAATGCATGCAATACATGAAACCTAAAGAAAATGTCAATGTTTATTTATCAAAACATGCTTTTGATAAATAAGTAAGCAACACAAATTAGTATATTCAAATTGTGAAAAACAGGAATAAATTATATAGCTAACTATTGCTCACCGATTCAACAACTCTACATACTCTAACTAGATCAATGCCCCTTACGAAAGGCATACAATGGACAATAGTTCATTTCACATAGCTTTGAGTTTTGAAGTTTGAAGAGATGTGGCGATGTAAAATCGAATGAAAACAAATCGATATCTTATCAAGATAATTTGTAACGAAGAGAGAATCGATTAACAGAAAATAATTCAAGAACAAACAATACACAAAACAAAAAGGATTCAATTACTAAGTTATTAAATCACAGAAAAACTACACAACAAGCAAAAACTAAAAAACAACCAGACAAAAAGTCAACATCAATTGAAAACAAATGGACATCGGGTTCGCGCTAAAAAGTGTCCGCACCTATAGGGCGTTAAAATCGCATACAGAGCGTCAATCGCGCAACAGTCTTCGTTTGTTCGACTGACAGCGCGGTTGTCAATCATGCAGTAGCATATAATAACTTGTAAAAATTACTGCAGTAAAGTGTAAAAACTGGATTCTGTATCATATTTTCACTAAACAAATATATTGTGTTATCATAGTTATCATTTAAAAGTGTTATTTTGTACAGTTGTATAGTATTTCATTTATATATAAATAAATCGTAAATATAAATTACAAAAGCAAACAAAATAATCAAATAGCTAACTGTCCTTGTTCTACACATTGCATGCGCAAAAGATGGTATGAGACCAATTACGTCAATTTCAAGAAGCTTATATAAACTTATTGGTCATTGTCAATTATTCGAACCATAAGCGATTGAAATATTTGAAGAAAGAAGAAACTATAGAGTCGTCTTGATTTTAATCTTATTTTTTATTAAACATTAGCAATAACTAACAAAATATTGTTGTACTATGGTTGTACTCATTTTACGACAAGGGATTACCTATCAGAAATCACAAAATGCATTTGCCCGAAATAACGTTAGCTCGAATTTTCATAATGTCAAATGTATTTTTTTAGGAATATTACAAAAGTCCTTTCACATATAAACTTTTGTACAATAGCTTTGTTCGTAGTCGAATTGAGTTCGCTTGTACTGTTTGGCATCCATTCTACAACATCCATGTCGATAAAATTGAAAGGGTGCAAAAGAAATTTGTTAGGGCTCTAGATATTAGGACTGGTCATGATTATATTGATTATGAGCATTCTGCTACCAGGCACAAAATTGAATTGCTTAGGAGTCGTCGTGACTATATAGATATTATTAGTTTATATAAGATATTAAATAACAAATTTGATTCAACATCTCTGTTAAATCGTATATACATTAGAGTACCCCGTAAAATTGAAAGATCTTGTCGCAGGAATACACTTTTCTCAATTAAGAAATCGCGAAAACGTTTTGTTGGTAATAGTTTTATCAGACGTTCATGTCGAACATATAACAACAGGGTCATGGATGTGGATATTTTTTGTAATTCGTTGGCGAAATTTAAAACTAAGATTAAAGCCTTATTGTAATTATGTTCAATGAATTTAATTTACTTCATTTTTCTAGTTTTTGTAATTTCAGTCCATTTTTAGTTATGTTAGTTAGAGCAGATTTTGTTTGATTTGTACCTATTTTGAATTAAGGAAACTGTAAGTCTACACTACATGTTTACAATGTAAAATATTTTTGTATATCGACTGTTTGTTTCTTAACATAAATTAAAAAAAAAAAAAAACTTCGGACATTTTTTTCGTGGTTTTTGTATTAGACCCGACGTCCATTTGTTGGTAGGTCAATGACATCAAAGCATAAAATCAACTGCAACGAAACGAAATTTGAAAAATTTGTCTAAAAACATCACGCAAAGCTTAAAACAAAAGAAAACGAGCAGCATACAAAGTGTATGCACTCGTATTGACGCGAGATACACAATAGCCGATTCGATTTATCGATTTTATGATGTAAATCTCTATCAACAAAAATATTCCCTTTTACGCATCAAGTAATTGGGTGATTCATTTTTATCTTTATCATTTTTTTCATTTCACTTTCTGTCTACTTAATATATTGTAATTTTTATTTAAAATTACAACTGTAACAAATATTGTTTGTTTTTGGTACATTGTAATAAATTAATTATTTCTTTTTGTAACCTGGTTGAGCGATTAGTTAGAAATAGTATGCGTGCAACGTAAAAATTTGATATGTCACAGGACTCATCCTATGTGAAATGGACCATAATCTCCTTTCGCGCGTGCTTTTATACGCATGTCTGATGTCTTATGACATCAAACATTTTAGTTACACATCGAATTGAGACTAAAGATGTGTTTAAAGTGTCAGAATACATTCCGTAAACACAGATAGATACTTACGCGAAACAAAATAATCATGGCAGGAATAGCACTCTAACAGATAATACAATATAAAACGCACGTGTATGACATAATTTACAAAGTAATACGCTACTTCCTTTACAGGTACTATCTCTATATTTTTAAGAAACCTCTTAACAGAAGTGAGGAGTCCGTAGGTGAAGTCGACGACGCCGCCAACAGGTCGCACGACGAGCCCGACGGCACCTTGGCCCAGTCCCTTAATGAACCCTGGAGCGCCGCTTTGCTGCGCGCCTTGTAAAGGACGCACTACCACGCCTGTCACTCCGTTCACTAAGCCCTGACGGAGATGGGGGTAGGAGGAGGTGAAATGAGGAATGAAGCAAGTTGAAAGGGATGAAGGGCTCCTCGTCTCGTGTCCTCTGCATTACTACGGACACTTGGAGTACCATGTGTTAGTATGCTACACTTTCGTCCTGAGCGGTTGGGATTAAGGTAGGAGAAGAACGCAGAAGTAAGAAGGGTTTCTGTGTAGATAGAATAAAAACTTCGACATTCTATATGCAAAAGTCTTGTTACGACATATTAAGAGAATAAGAAAGAAATTCTGATAAGCACACGAATCAAAGATCTCAGCCCACGATTGAATGAATTTTACGACGAGCGATATTGACAGAAAAACAACAATATCCATAACGTCACCTGGAAATAAACATTTGCCTAGAAAACACATGCAGAGGCGATAAGAAAGCCAACAACCATACACCAAAACGATAAATTGCAAGCATGCCAAAAATTCCTGTTTCCCGATTGTGGTCACCTCTTGACGGCGTTGAAGGAGCCGCTAGCGAAGTCCACGACCCCAGTAGTGGGTCTGGCGACCAGCCCTACGGCGCCGCGGCCGAGCCCTTTGAAAAACCCTCCCACGCCCTCTTCGCGAGCGCCCTCCACGGGTTTGGTGAACACGCCCGTCACGCCGTCTACGACTCCCTGTAGTTATAATATCAAGTATAGTCTTATAAAAGTGGGTACAGCGGAGACTGGATTTTATCTTGATTTATAAAAACATAAAATTGTAAAAAACACAACGTCACATGTGGTCAAAAGCCGGAAGAAACACGAAAGGTACGTGTCTAAAATTCGTGCCAAAACTTAAAAGTATAACACAAAAGCTTACAGCTTGTCAGTGCATTAATGTATTTATTCTGAAGTTATCACGTTCTTTCGAAAATTTGAACTAGTGTATTCTAAGCAGGGTTTGAAGTTATCAGGATAATTATCTCGATAAATATACGTTGATAATTATCGTCATATTTATAAAATTTATTGGTACAACACTAGCGCTAGCAATGTCGTGACACTCGTTCGAAAGTGTATCTAATGAAATCAAATCGTATTCTCTAGATTTTTGTTCATGTTTATTTAGTTTCCTCGCTATTTGTTATTTTTAGTCAAAAATTAAAGAGACAAACCTATGAATCAGCAGGGACATATATAGGATAATTATCAGATAATTATCATGATAATTATCAAAGAAAATAAAGTTATCAAAATAACTTTGAACCCTGATTCTAAGCGAACGAAAAGATATTGACTTACCATGACAAGACCTTTGCCACTCCTCGCTATTCCCTCCTGCAGGTTGGCAGGGGTCTTGTTGATGTTGTCACGGCGGCGACGTTGGTAGTCCTGGACATAGCAAAGCGCGGATTGGTGAGAGCCTTCTTCTGGCGTCGATCAGTCAGTCAGTGGGTCAGGGCCAGAAGGATCAGGGTCGGGGCAGCGTAGTCACCTTGTCGAGCGAGAGCGCGGCGAGGCCGTGGCCCATGGCACCGGTGATCCGTGAGACGGCGCCGGCCGCGCCGCCCACTGTGTGCCCCACCAGCGAGCGCACGCCCAGGAACAGCCCTTCCGCGAACTCGCCGGGGCCTTGGATCGCTCCCTGCACACAGGATATCCCTTCTGAACCTCCACTTAACATTCAATGCAACTTACATTACGAAGCGCAAAACTCTTTCTTAATAATTATATTATTATAATAATATTCTTTATAATAATAATATTAGCTTATTTGCTTCAAACATCGTAGAACAAAAATTGTAACAGAAAAACAAAACAGTACCAGTACAAACATGTTTCGTATACATATATCAAATAGCAGGCAAATGTCTAATGATAAAATCTTAATTGAAAACTACAACAATAAATAAGATATACATTTACAATTTTATAAATTCAATATGACAATTTTTATTAAAAGTACGTCATAATCCTTTACAACAATGCAAAATTATTGTTCTAAATATTCATTCACGCTGTATTTTTTTTAAATTAACCACTTGTACAATTCAGTGGTCATTTTCGTGTATGTTAGTTCTTTTTATTTCACTTGATAGTTTATTATAAATTGCCACGCGTGTTGGAGGGACTTTTGAGTGCAGTGTAATTTTAGGCACATACGTGCTTTTATTACCGTGCAAGTATTTGTATTTGGGTTTCTTTTCGCGTGCAAAAAAACTGTAGAACTGCAGTATTTTTTAAGAAATAAGCGACACGCCTTTACATAAATCACACAAATTCTTTCTAAAACCAAAACAAACACTAAATCTAACCTGGAAGGGCTCGTAGAACAAGTCCTCAACTCCCTTCTTCAACCCAATGACAAGGCCGTAAGGGTTTCCGATGACATCAAGCCCCAGCACCAAAACGTACAGCTGCTTCAACGCTTGTCCCGTGTAATGACTTTGCACTTGATTCTTCAGCTCCTTTTGGGACAAGAACTCGTAGTTTCGCTCGTAGTATGATAATCTGGAATCGTGTAGTAATTAAAATCTTTTATCCTAGACAAAAAGTTTGATTACGACAATGGATCTTACAGAATAATTCGTGGTTATATTGATTTAAGCTCACGATTTTTTTTTTTTTTTTAATATATAATAGACACACGCTTGGCCACAATCTCACCTGATGTTAAGCGACGATGTGACCGACGATGGGAAGCGTTTGCCTAAAAAATGCCTATTCACTCTAGCCTTGAATAGCCCCAAATTGTACTTTTCGGGAAATACATATGCCGGTAGAGCATTCCATTCCTTTGCCGTACGCATCAGAAAGGAGGAGGCAAAGCGCTTAGTGCGAATAGGTGGAATATCAACGACATAAGAATGGAGTGCTCTAGACCTTTTATACATTATTTTGATTTTAAAATCGGGATCTAATCGTGTATAAAACAACGGATTTCGAGACCATGGACGTTGCAACAAGTCCGAAACGTCGAGGTAAATAAAACATATTTTATACACTATTAAGTCCAAATTTTAAAATCAAATCGTGCGTAATTGCGTTGGATATTTTTTTAATGCAGTTAATTTTCCCACCCTAATCGATTAGGCATAAACACCCGAAAAGGCCCAATTTCGCTAAACGTTTCATCAAACACAACATTAGAAACAAATCATATTTTCGAATTCTTAGGTTTTTGCGATTGTTACACATAGGAAATGAAACTATTTTTCCGGATTTATTTTTTCAGTCAACCGTGACCATGGGACCTGTAAAGGGCCCGAAACGTCGTCGGTTTGTTTGAAAAAAAAAAACAAATATACGCGATTTAAATCCGGAAAAATAGTTTCAAATCATATTTTATCAAATTCCCCTTGTTAGCCTTACAATTTTGCGAAAAAGGATTAGGTCTGAGTGTTTTAGATGGCAACAATTAGATACAACAATAGGGGATGCTTAATAAATGAACTAAAAGGCACAAAAAAATATTCAACACAAGCGCAGCTATTATACTAATATCGAGTTCTTAGGTTTTCGCGATTGTTACACATAGGAAATGAAATCCGGTCCCATTCCTGTGGCCGTGGGACCTGAAAAAGGCCCGACACGTCTCGGTTTGTTTGAAAAAACAAATATACGCGATTTAAATCCGGAAAAATAGTTTCATTTCCTATTATACTAATAATTTACTTCCATTTTTATTAGATTGACGAGACTTGACGGATTATAACTAAATTAATAAGAAAAAAAATTTTTCAGTAACAAAAATCCGTTTTATTGAAACAGCAGTTACGTACTCTCATAACTCGTATAGCTGCAAAAATTCTCCATAAAAAATTTGACGTCGGTTAAAGGGTGCTACAATTTGAAATAAGTTGCGTTGCTAACACGCCATAAACTCACTTGAAAACGACGTCGTTCATGTCGGTGAGCGTGACCCCTATGCTCTGCAGGACCGTGCCCACGAACGATGGCAGATTAGTCGCACTACCAAGGGAGAACGACACGTGAACCTTAAAAAAAAACAGTTATTAGAAAATACTTTCTGACTTCAAAAGATAATAAAAAAGGGATATGTCCCTAAAATTGCAGCGAATCAAGGCTAACTCTTAAACTAAACAATGTTAAATTAGTTATTGAAAAATAAAGACTTGTTACAATTATACTGACAAGAAGAATTAAATTAATCGTGGTTAGCAAACTATCAAATACTTGGTCAAATTAAATTTCTACGAGAAAAGAATTGTACTTTCCAATAATAAACCAAACTTCCGAAAGAAATACTAAGTTACCGAAAGTCCGTATTATTCTATAAAAACGTTTAGAAGAATACGGACTAGGAATCCGATTAATGCATATTATTTATTCGGCGTTTTGTAGAAAGTGCGAAAGTAATATTTTGAAAAATTTTACAGGGGATGAATGAATGTTTTAGGTTTTAACGACTGTTTTAAAATATTTACGTCCTATTTTAAAATTCTAGTTTGGTTTTAATGATGTTTAAGTTTTGAAAATGAATTTAAAACAGGGTGTAAATATTTTAAAACATTCGTGAAAAACTAAAACACACTCCCTTGAAAAAAATGTTTGAAATGGCACTTTCGCCCTTTCTACAAAACACCGAGTGCCGATTTGTTACAGATTTACTTTTTTTAACTCTCAATTTCTACTATACGGCGACGCTTCGTGCGAGCTTCGAACGCGACGATTTTAGCAATTTTTTATCAAGCTTTGACTACTGCTAATAAAGCTATTACTTTCTAAATTTTATATAAACTTAACTGTACCTTGAGCGGAGACAAATGCAGATTATCGTAGAAGTTCTTCAGATCAGAGGCGACGCCCGATGCCGCCACGTCATCTAGCGGCTGGTTTGCCGTCTTCAAATCTTGTTGAAACGCTTCCAGCTGCAAGAAAACAATGGAACATCGAGTTGGGACGTTCCCGACTATAATCTAGTTATGGTTTCCGGAGGTGCGAGGGAGGAGCGCGATCGATCCGTATTGAGAGCCCTTTCGCGGAACCAGTAAACCATAGAAGGGTGATTAGTGGAGCCACAATCTGGTGCTGCAGACTAATATCATGTATACTTCGTTTCAATCCGTTTTAATAAAAAAGTAAACAAACACGTCACTGACCCGACCATAGTCGGCTTAATGATGGCCAATTGTAATGCCAACTACAAATCTATTAATTAATTGAATGAATCGATTTGTTTAATTGAGTCGTACTAGGGGTTTTTCTTACATGAAAATAGTGAAAATGCATAACCTATAAAAGCATATATTTAAAATATCCGAAATCATAATTTTAAATCCTCCTTCAAATCCTTACACTTAGATACTCGTTCGATTGCGAAACTTTAATTGAATGAACCGAATGTTTTTTTTTTTTCATATAGCACTATCCAACCAACAAACAACAAGTCATAGAAGTAAAGATGAAACCTCACTTTTGGATTACCATTTTTCAAATACGATTTTACGATGCTATTCAAATGAATATTGTTGGAAAAAGTGATGAGATATTAAGTCGAACTCTTCGAAATATACGTGAAAGTGTTACTTATCGATTTTATTGAGTAATTGCTTTAAAATTTTAACCAAACAGGCTTGATTGCGTTTTGTTTAATACGGATTGGAACAGACTTCAGGTACATACGATAAACGATAACGCCTTGTCCAGTTATGAAGTGAACTTCAAGATTAATTTAACAAAAATTTTCACGGTTACAATTAACTCAAAGCAATACAACTTCACTCCATATACGTAGCATAGAGGTGTAAATTAACCTTCTGCTCATCGAACTCTCTTACCGCTTCTTCCTCATTGAGTATACGCTGCGGGAACATGCCCATGAGAGCGTTGATCAGCCCCATGTCGACCTTGACATGGAACTCCTGGATGAGCACCTTGTAGTATTTGTACTGCCGCACTTTGCTCTGTTCCATCGTGCGTTCAACAATTGATACTTCTATGAATGGCTTTACACCTGGTGAACAGGAAAGTCTTTGTGGTAAATACCCTCACTTTCATTGAAAACATTTGACAGCGATACCTTAACGTTTTCACTGCGGGTCTGAGTAATAACTTGAGTGCTGGCGCAGGCCATCGGGATCAAATTACAGAAAATCCAACAAAATGAACTGAAACTTAAACCGCTGAACCAAATTCGAGGAATTTTGGCATAGAGATAAAAAAATTGGCATAGGAGAAATACATAGGCTACTTTTTGTCACAAAAATAGATAAGAGATGAAAGTTTGTATGGAGAACCAATCATTTATCTAGTATGTAGTACAGTAGGCCAAGCAGTAGTGTGAACATTACTGTCTTCCGGTTTTGAAGGGTACGGGTGTTAGTCAAATTACAGGCACATGGGATTTGTCTACTTACATTGTCTCAGGGTATCGAGCGCAGTGGCAATACCCCTCATAGCTTTGTGATTTAAAGCTCTGAGTGGTACTGCAACTGTTATGAACAGGCGTGTCGTTTACCATCACGCGCACGACTTGATCTTCCCGTCATTTAGTTATTATAGAAAAAAATTAGGATGGGCGCCCCTTTAAGAACTATGGGATATTCGCTGAACGCAACTGACCACAGGGGTCGGCGTTGGCGATGGACCGGGGCGGCGGCACGGGCGCCAGCACGACGGGGAAGGTGGGCAACGGCAGCTGCTGGTCCACCTGCAGGCGGTGCAGGCGCGCGTGTATGCGCCGCGAGTGCGCCGACATGCCGTACGACGCCCACAGGCCCGGCTCCAGGGTGCGCCGCAGGTACCGCGGCGACGGCTTCACCACGCGCATCTCCTCGAAGTTCACCTGCCGTCGCAGACCACGACACGTCTCTTACAGATCTGAATAGGTGCAACTATTTCGCAGGAAAATATTGTAGGAAACTCTAGACCACACGACGGGTGGATGAAAAGTAATCTACCTAAGTATGAAATAAAAATTATACGACCAATATAATGAAATTTTACTTCTTATATTTATTTAAAAGTTTAAAAACATTGGATTCAAAAAAGATGTTAGTAATTTTTAAACATTTGTTACTTTCTTTCGACATGTTGTTCTTGCAAGCCGAAACGCAATAAGCAAAAGAGTGTCACTAATTTTGATTTTGTCAAAAAGAATTAACAGCGAATGCGTCATGATAGTTGCTAGTAATTCCTGTATTAATACTCTTTTGATTATTTCCAATATTATTAATTATATTTATATTGGAAATTGTCAAAAGAGGTTAGTTTTCAACCTCCCCTTCGTATACCAGAACCTTACCATTACGGACTTTTAAGAGCTGTAAATCAAGCACTGATGTCAATAGCCAGTAGTTTGGTAATATCAGCTTTTAAATAATAAATGGTGCTTACTTCAATCTTTTCATCGATATGCACGATAGGCGACGGCGGCGTCAGGTTGACGAGCTTTTCGTTCATATAGCGCTGATAGGCATCCTCGTACTGCGCTAGTTTGACGCCTTCGATCTTCTTGTAACGCCGCGCACCGATCTTACATTGTTCCCAAATTATGCCAGAACTGAAAAATGGTTTTCATCACACTTGCTCGTAAATAATATGATTGCATGGTAGCTAACTTGCATTACACGCCCAAAATAAAGCCCTCCGGACTTTTTTCTTCCTATTACAGCCATGGTCGGTAAGGAGTTAAAGTTAATTAATTAATTTAAATTCGCTTAAAATTTTATCTAAACAGAAATTTAATTGCAATTCAGAAACGTACTACATAAATACTTATTATTAAGAATTTTAATTATTTCGTGTATAAAAATTTTGCTTTTTACAACATTTTAGTTCGAGTAGTATTACCTATGGAAGAATAGCTAGCTGTATCTGTTGATGAAAAAAAAAAGAAAAAACGCCATTTGCAAAGTCCATAATTGTTGTGTTGCAAAACGTATTTAATCAAACAATAAATAAACATTGTATTTATTTCTTCGTAAATGTGATGGAAAACATTGTATGTATCACGGACGGTAAAAAAAACACAAAACTCGAGTTATTAAAGGCCTCAGATTTCGGCTTCGGGCTTTTAAAAGACCCTCGTCCCTAACTTCTTATTTACCGTCCTTAAAACACAAGGTACTATTAAAACCTCTTGATCCAAACAGTGGCTATAAGAAACCATCTCCAGCTACCATCAACCTGTGATTACCATTTCAAGTAGTCCAGTTGCAGGGCAAAGACCTTCACAAAACTCACCGCGATCTTTTAATGCCTCTGGTTAATTTAGCTCAGATCGTCGCACTATCATAGACGTTTTCATCATTAAGACAACCTATTGCATTGTTCGTTTGCAATAAAAAAATAATATAAATATATAAAAAAATTCTTCACTTAATGCGATTTAAAATAATCAAATAAAGAAACAAATAACAAACTCACTTAGAAATGCTGATATAGACAATCTCCTGTTTTTCCAAATCGTTGACAAGGGAGACGCCCAAGCCCTGCATAGAGACCAATATCTCCGTGTCGATCTTCTCTGCCTCTCCGATGGTGTGCGCTCCGCTCGCAAGTATCGGGTCGTCGGTGAACAGTATCACTCGTTGAAGCCCATCCAGAAACGATACCCAGTAAACTTTGTAGGTTTCGTCGAGCCTGCAAGAAATAATACATTATTACATCAAAAGGCGGCAGCCAACACTAAGTAAACACCCCGTTAATCTGTAGTAATTTTCACATAAGTAAAAACAAAATCAATGACATAAACTTAAAAAAATGGGAAGCTATATAATATGGAATATCACTCTGTCAATTTATACAACATATCATTTTCAAAAAATAAAAAAATACGGTAAAATAACATTATCTCTTAACAAATGTCCTAATATGTCAAATACTACTTATAATATATATTTTTTTACTTTTTCTATCAAACATCTTCCTCTGTTTAGTCTTTTATTGTTTCCTAACATTTTTGAGAAAAACACTGTATATGCCTCGGCGGGTACGGGAATACGTATTAATACTAGGCGCCCTGGTGCTCGGCTTTGTAACTGATACTCGTTCAGCAATCCGTAAGGTCGCAAATTCCGAACGATAGTGCGTTCAGCGACAATGTACGCGCAAGCCCCGCTGAACACACCACCGCGTGTCAAAACCGCGTTGCAATTTTGTGGCCTGACTTCGCGACCGCTGCAATAATGTAATGTGTATGATTTATATTTTTTCATATAAATCAACATTTGGGGCTCCTTGGGTACCAAATCCCATGGTCACGACTGACTTAAATGGTATAAAATGGCATATCTACTATTAATGCACAATTATTTTAGATCCGAAAACTAAATAGTTTCATATCCAATGTGTAGCAATACCGAAAACCTAAAAACTCGTTTAAAATGTGTAAAATAAACTCACGCAAAGTTGCCGATGCCGTCTTTCCTTAGGTCGTTCTCGATTTCTTTCCTGTTATGCGCTGCGAATATTAATATCTGTGGCCCGGCAGGGTTATCCCACGTGAACAGCATTTGGTACATTGACGGTAATTTCCTGCAAATATAGTACAACAAACACGCATTGTAGTAACTTACCAACAAGATCACAAATTTGTCTATTCCTCTATTTATTTTATTGAATATCATGATGGTTGTACTGCCATGATATTCATATATTTTTTGTGAAAATACTTCACTAATGTTTTATTATTATTGATACAAAAATCGAACAAACACAAAGAAAAATTACTTAACTTACTTCTTTACTTAAATCCAGTCTATTCGAACCAGTTTCTATTGTGCTACCGCTCCTACCAACTGAGCTATAGATAGATCACGTCAGCAGATGTTATGAATTTGTCTATGTGTTTGCAACAGATCTTTGTATCTGTCAAAAACTTATGGATCGAAGGAATTTTTCTTTGTAACAAATAATTCAAACTAACTGAACAACTGAGATGATAAACTAAGATAATGATAAAAACTAAGTTAACCGTACATTACAATAATGTCAACCCATCCAACTCAGAAACTTGTTAATGATCTCTTATTAGTAAACTACAAACTATATACATAATATTTCATGTTGTAATTAACCCGCTAGGGACTGGAACGCATTTAGATAAACTCGACGATGGCTTCCATGTCGGTATAACAATCCCGACATTTTGTGCCGTCTTTGACTCTTGACGGTATGATAAAATAGACCTGTGTAAAGTTACTGTTTAAAATTAATGAATATCAATCAATAAAGACTTCTCTCATAACTGTCAAAGAATCGTTTTAATTTTAGGGGTGTAAAAATATGTGAACATTTTTTATTGTAACTGTTTCCATTTATAAAGACAATTCAACATTTGTAATCTACAGACAATTATATAAGACAATT